TTTTAAAAGAGCAACATGTAAGTACTTTTTAATGAATAAGCTTGAATTGACAATTCTATATCAAATGAGTTGTACCGTAGAAATATATTAAGCAGTAGCTCAAACTTTAGGGAATTGTTACAGTCTCGTTACGGAACCACTCTGTCGAGATTTGTAACCGTTAGATCATAATGCAATCATCGTAGATAATTAATCTAACAGTTAACTGAACAGTAAATCTCCCTAAGCTTTAATGGGAAATACTTCAATTTATGCAAGTATACCAACTTCATTTAAGGAAGAGTATATGTGCAATGTGTTTACAAGTCATTCTATTATTGCAATTTTACCCCCCCCAATGATTTAATATAATCTAAGCTAAAATTGCCTTTAATAACTACCAATCTAAGTTATTCTTGATGTAAGCATGTCATCCAAGAGCCAACTTTTGTTCATAAGTGCCTCCTTTTTAGATTTGCCCTACCACTTCAATTTTCACCTTTTTTTCTTAAATAAAAAAAAAAAAAAACCAAGAGTGCTTGGATGAGATGGTTTGGGTCTCTTCCAGCTTAACCAGTGGTCTCATGTTCGAGCCCTGGGAATGCAGCAGTGTTAAAACTCTTGAGGGAGAGCTTTGCCGCCCTTGTGGTCCTACCCGGCTCGATTCCGAATTAGTCGGTTCCCCTGAGGATCCGGAAACCGGAAGGTCTATGTACCAAAAAAAAATAAAAAAAAAATCTACTTGTGAATATGAATAATATTATCACCATATACCTAGCCTTAATTTCAACTTGCATTTGGCTGTACTAGTCAATCAAATATTTCAAATAAATAAATAAATAAAATCCATAAAATAAAAAGAAAACAAAAATATACTACCTCTTATTCTTTTTAAATGTCATTTTTTGCTTTATCAGCCATTAACTAAATAAATGAAGATGTCATCTTTTGCTTTATCAGTCATTAACTAAATAAATGGTGTTTTGAATCTTTTGTACATATTTTTTCATTATTACTCTCATTTAGCTAATAAAAACGCTATGTCTTTTCATATTCAATTTTCATCTTTTCTCAAAACATTCCTCTCTAGAATGTTACTATTGGCAAAAAAAAAAAAATAATAATCTTAATTATCGTGTAACTTCTCAAAACGACATATATTATAGAAAAAACCTATAATCCCGTCACGGAATAACTACATAAAAGTTACATATTTATCTATTGACTAAAAATCTTCACGGAATGATTCCGTGATGGAATTGTAGCCTTTTTTTTAGGAGGGAATATATAATAAGAATAGTGTCTTCCCAACACTCCAACAAAACATTCCTTGCATAAACTGCAAAAAATAAGTGTCCAAACCCAAATTATTCCATTTTAATTATATTTACATATGTCTTTCTCTCTCACACACACTGAAAGAAAAAGAACAAAAGAAAAAAAAAAGAAAAGAAAAAAGAACAGAGTAAAGAAATCAAAGCAAGTCTTATTTCTATATTTCCTTCCAATTATATATCAATGGCTGCTACTACACCCTTCACTACTCTCCTCCCCTTCAACCCTCTTCTCCTTATACTCATACCACCTCGCATTCACCAAAAACACCCCCAAATTCACAGCACTCAACCCCGCCAGCAGCCAGTAAAAATTATAAAGCCTCCCTTTATCGAGATCATCCGCCAGCCACGGCCTCGCACCGCCCCCCGCCACCCTGTGCACCACGCTCACCAGAACCGAGCTCACGAAAAACCCCAACGACAGCGTGCTCAAAAAAAGCCCCGTGCTCATCGTCTTCATCCCTCCCGGACACTCCCTCAGGAAGAAATCCAGCTGCCCCATGTACGTCAGCGCTTCCCCCGACCCCACCAGCACAAACTGCGGCACCAGCCAGAAAACGCTAGCCGGCTGGTCCTTCGCGTGGGCCCACCGCTGCCTCCGAACCTCCGTGAGTGCTGCGGCGGCCATGGCCAGGATGGAGAGGACGAGGCCCGTCCCTATGCGCTGGAGCGGGGTGAGACCCTGCGGGTTGTGTAGAAGCTTCCGGAATACGGGGACGAGGGCGCGGTCGTAGAACGCGACGGTGAGGAGGATGGCGGAGACGAAGAAGACGGTGAGGGAGGCGGCGGGGATCTCGAAGGTGGGGCCCACGCGGCGGTCCATGGTGACGGCCTGGGAGACCGAGAAGGTGGTCATCTGGGCGTACACGGTCCAGAAGAGGATCGTGGTGGCCCATGTCGGGAGCATACGGATCACGAGCTTCACCTCCTCGGCGTCGGTTAAGGTGGAGAGGCGCCATCGGTTGTTGTTGTTGTTGTAGTTCGTGTGTGGTGCCGTTGGGAACTCATGTAGTCGGGTGGCAGTTTCGATGATTGCTGCCCTGTCCAGAAATCTGCGATCGATCGAGGATTCGTGGATAGTAAGTAGATGGAAATGTGTGTCGATCAGTGGTAGCTAAGTTGAAATGCACGCGCACATCTAAATAGTTTTATTCACCCTAACTACTATATTTGGAAATGTATTAAGTTTTTTTGACATCGCCTAATCTATTAATTTACTTTATCTTTTTTTTTTTACTTTATCGACCCAAAGTACAAAGGTATAATGCAATATATGAATACTAAACAGTTATGTAATTGATATCGACTGTTATCTTGTTCATTCGCACAATCTTTGTAAGTGAAAAAAAGTCAAAATTGTTATCTGACGAGAAGTGAAAAACATAATATATGGGGTGAAAAGATTTTTTTCCTGTACCGAAAAAAAAAAGATTTTTTTTTCCAAAAAGAAAAAAAAAAATCCATTAAGTTTTATTCTAAGTTTTATGCCTTTATTTATGATTTATTTATTTATATAATATTATAGAATTTATTCATCTAGGCATCACACTATAATGGTTGAAAAGACATTTGCCAATACTATGTAACACGAGCACTTATTCTGAATAAAAAGATTTTAATTGGACCAACTTTTTGAAAGTATTCCTACTTTATTGACTTTCATGTTCACTTTCCTTGAGTGATATATGGATGGCATCATGGCAAAGATCTTAGTAAATAGGCAACCCCGTGGACAGAACAGAAAATGGTACAATTCCATTACGGAATCATTCCGTTGTGTAACTGTTCGATTATCTATCCCAACAGTTATATGATGATTTAATAATTACAAATTCCAATAAAATAATTTCATAACAGGACCGTAACATCTTCCGAAACTATATTATTCCTATATCAAAAAGTGGACACCTTGACAATTTTGTAGTGAATATTTTTCCACTTTACAACCCCACCTGGACCGACTTTACCCCTGTCTGCATCTCATGCATGATTTGTACTATATTATTGAACCACTCACTTCCAAAATAACGGACACTATCAGCCACCTAACTATTATTTTCCAAAAATTATAGTGTTGTTATTGTCAGATGTGTCATCACCTACAAATAATGTAATAAGAATTAAGAACTAATCTCTCCTTGACAAAATTATAGTACGTTTATAATATTATTGTTGTTATTCGCGAAAATTTTTCACCTGCGATAGTTACTAGAGAAATCAACCTCTTCTTTGAAATATTTTGTACTAAAATATTTATCTATTTAGTAAGACGGATTGTTGGGCAACCAATATTTCAATATGTCAGTCTCAAATTGAAATTGTCACTTTAACAAAGATAAATTAGAAATTAAAGTATGTCATTTCACGGTTTAGTATGTATTTTTGTTACACATAGATAGCATGCACATATTCTCGTGTTAGACAGTTCCAATTGTTAATTGGGTCGGTCGACCCGCATACTTTATTAACAAAATAAACACTTATACTATGAAATATCATATTTTATTTATGTTGTTTTTTTTAAAAGCATGAAATTTAAGTATGAAAATTTATAGACATGTTAAAAAAATATTAATTATTTAATCATTGGAGTTTTATTGATACAAGACCCGAAAGATGGGTAAACTATCAATTAAGGGCCTGGAAGATTTTTTTTCTCAATTCGGGACATAAATGTTATAAAACTATCAAATTAACTGATGAATTAACAAAACTTATAACACTATTTAATTGAGAGTTTAAAAAACAAAATAATAAAAGATTGGTGTTACTCACATAAAAAAATATGTAAACATTTGCATAATATTAAAAAAATAGAAATGGACGATAGCAAGAAACCCGAGCAAGAGCTTCATACTTTCTTTAATTTTATCCAACGATCTTGTATTATCTTTCATATTCTTTTTTATTTTTTATTTTGTAACAGATTTGGTGTTTTAAAACTTCAAATTAACTCTCAATTTAATGGTGTTATGAGTTTTGTTAATTCTATAGCTTAATTTGATAGTTTTATAACATTTAAGTCTCGAATTGAAAAAAAAAATTCAGGCCCCAAATTGATAGTTTAACTGTCTTTCAGGTCTTCTATTGGAAAAACTCCTTTAATCATTATACTCACTTAAAGTAACGCTATAGAGCCAACGTGAATGACAACTTGGGTTACAACTCAAGTGTAAATACATTATTTTTTATTTTTTTATAATACATTTACACTTGAGTTGTACTTGTCATCCAAGTAGGCTAAATAGCATTACTCTTATACTTATCTAAAAACAAAAAATATAATTATCTAACTATTAATACTTATCTAAAACCAATCTTAATGGTATAACCGTATAATTAAGGAGTGAATCCATCCTACCTTTAGTACTATTTTTCATTTATAATTCTCGTATAAAGACTCAACCAAAAAAGAAAAGAAAAAAAAGGGTTCACAATTTAATTTTAAACCATTTTAAACATTTTTTTTCCTAATATACCCTTACTCGAATCGAGATCCCCTTTTGTCCCAATAGGAACCCCCAAATCAATTCATTCAATTTAAAAAGAACCAATTTTGTTTGTACCAAAAAAAAAAAAAGAACCAATTTTGTACCGAAAAAAAAAAACGAACCAATGAGAAATAAGAGAAACAATAACTCACCGGAATTGCTTGGTGTGCGGCAACTTCTGCTTCTTCTTGCTCTTCTTCCCGCCGTCGCCACCTTCCCCGACCACATCATCGACTTCGTACAACAACGCAGGGTCCACCGGCAACTCGAGCCCCCTCTTCCTCCACGCCGCCACGCACACGGCGGCGATCTGGGTGAGCGGGCTCCCCACGAGCTTCCTGAACCGGTACCGACGCGTGCCGGACAGGAAGACGATGAGCCCGACCAGAATCGCGCAGGCGCAGATCCCGTAGCCCCACTCCCTGCCGAGGTTGTCCTGCACGTACACCAGCAGCGTCACCGCCGCCAGGGTCCCGATGCTGATGAGGAAGAAGAACCAGTTGAAGAACTTCATCATCTGCTTCTTCTCACCCGGATCGGACTCGTCGAACTGGTCCGACCCGAACCCGGACACACTGGACTTCAGGCCGCCGGTGCCGAGGGCCGTACAGTACAGAGCTAGGTAGAGGACGGTCAGCTGCTTGCTGTTCGCCGGGACGCAGGGCTCTCCGGCGGCGCACTTCGGCGGCCGCAGGCCGGGGACTATGGTCGACGCCGTGAGTATCGTGACTCCCTATGAAAAAATCATTAATTAATAAAATAGTGATAATAATGAACTTATTGTTTTAGACAAACTGGAATAGTCGGAATTAATGAAGTTTGTACCGTTGCTTGAACAGTGGCGAAGATGGCAATGGTCAAATATCTGGTCAAAATAATCGACAAAAGTTTGACTCGATGAGGCTCTGTTCGGATAAGGGAAATTTAAAAAATAAAATAAAAAAAGTTATTGGTTTCCATTGTTACCTTCCCAAGTAAGTATCGGCTATGAATCCACCGAGCAAACAGAGCATAAAAGAGGTGCCGAGAAAGTTGGTAACGGTGTTAGCGGCGGTGACATTGCCCAAATGCATGGTGCCCGTCATGTACGTCAGCAGATTCACGGCTATGCCGAGCGTGGTCAGCCTCTCACATACCTCCACCACTGTTTTTTCATCTCACCAAATCATAAACATAAGAATACAGAAGGACAAAAAAGGAAAATTGATTAGTTTATGTGTATGAGTCGATTTGGAGTACCGAGGATTGTGGCGGCGCTCGTCCAGCCGCCGGAGGAGGATTTGACGGCGGGGCGGCCCTTGTAGTCCCAGGCATCTGGAAGAGTTTGGGCAGCTTGTTTTGTTTCGGGTAAGGTTCCCATTTTTCGATTGGGTTCAGTTTTGTGGCCCGTGAAAGTGCAGTTGTAGTTGTAAATGGAACTTTAATTTATGATTTGGTTGCTCAGAGAAAAGAAAGGGAGTTGCATTTATAGGAAAAGGGGGGAAAAGAGAGACAAGTTGGTGTGTGTGAAGTGATGATCCACTTTTAAGTTTT